ACATTAAATTTCTTTATACCTCCTGAAACTTTTTGCATATATATTTTTTTCATGAGTCAGCTAGCTGTCTTTTGCCCTCCAGGAGTTTGTAATTTTGAAGTGAATATAGGCACATGAATATATAATTAGGATACGGCAAGGGATGGAGGGATTCACTGAAAAGGTGACATTTGAGCTGGATTTGAACCAAAGGCAGAAGTCTGATCATGGGAGAAAATGGGCAAGTTAAGGAGCGGCATCAGCCTCAACAGAGACATGGAAATATAAAAAGAGCATAATGCATTTAGTGGGGTGAAAGAAATGAGGTGAGAGCGTGGGGAGGGAGAGGAGAAGGGTGATGGGAGATGAGCCTAGAATGATTTATAAAAATAACGGCCAACTTGGAGCCAGGTAATTCAGTGTCCTGAGAGCCATGCCAAGGAGATAAAAATGTGATTTTAGGCCAATAGGAACTGTAGAACTATTTTAAATAAAGGAATGTAATGGTAAGTTTTACATTTTTAGAAAGATATCTCTAGTAACACTAACCTCTCAGCATATTTGTCTGACTCAAATCTCCAGTATTTGGTCTTTTTCTCTGTGGATGGGAGTTTGAAACACACAATCATTTCATTCATTCTGGGAAGTTTCTGGTTGGGGATTATGACCCACTCATGTTTTCAGCATCATGTTTTCTTTCAAGAATGACATCGAGGATCAAGTTTCTTCCTGAAACATATTTCCTCTTTAGACCATCAGTCTGTGCCCTAATTTGGAGTCTTGAATGCAGAGTGAGGATAAAGTTTTGGTTTATTTTATGGGTTGTGCTGGAAAACAACGTCGTGAGTATTTAGAATGTTCAGGCAGGATCATTTATTGGGTGGAGAATCAGGGAGCTCTGTTCCCTCCCTTTTATTCACTATATGCAGCAGATAGCTCAGATAGAATCTCTTTGCAATACATAACAAAATATTTGGATGACCCTTTCTGAACTGGTCACCCCTACATTCTCATACTACTAGACCCTGGTGTCTCCTGACATACACTGTAGTAACACTGTTCCTCAGCGTCTAGAAGCCAGCAGAGACTTCACTGCCTCCTTGGACACCTCAGTGAGAGGGAGAGGGAGAGGGAGAGAGCTACATCTCCTTGCCATGAGACTGGGGTGGCTGCTGCCTGGCCTTGAATCTTGGATATACTGCTGTACCTCCACCCTCTGGTGAGACCTACAGCTGTGTGCCCTTTGAATAGTAGCCTCCTCCCAAGAAATGCTGTGATTTTATGAAGTAATAGATGATTTTAAAAAGTGAAGACTTGTTCCTTTGGTTGCTTTCAAGCCTGGGGGATAGCTTAGCTCAGGGGAGTGTTATTGGAATGCAGAAGTATATAGGACCAAGTTACACACCCCAAATCACAACTGATGTCTTTTTTTCTTGAAAAGACTAGTTTTTGTTAGGTGTTTGGTTAGAGAGATAGAATTAACTTATTCAGCATAGAGAGCTCCTACTTTGGACTGGACTCAGCTATCACATAATGAGATACAGCGGAAGTCCGCATGTGTCTGGGACCTGCTTGGTGCTCTCTAATCCGTCCACCATTTGTGCAGGGCAGTTGTCATCAGGTACAGAGAAGTTAAGTGAGTTTTCCAGGATTGAAAGTGAAACCTCTGAAATTTTAAAAGATATGTAAAATACGTTTGGGAGGAATTTTTGTTGTTGTTTTCTCTTGTAAAGAATGGCAATAGCCAGATGGGTGCTAGAGTAATTGGGGGGATCACTTCATAAATTATGTAAATGTCTAACCATTGTACCGTATACCCGAAACTAACATAAAATTAAAAAAAAAATTAAATTTAAAAAATCTTAAAAGTATACGCGCGCGCGCGTGCACACACACACACACACACACACACACACACACACACACAACGAATACCAGTAGCTTCCTTCATGATGCTTCCAAAGGCCAAAACCCATAGCTCTGATAGATCGAGGGCCTCAGTTGGTGACTGTTCATAGTGGGAGGAAAGAACACTCACTTGAGAGCGAGAAGCCCTGTGTGACATTGGGCTGAGCCCTTGTCATCTGAACCTCAGTTTCTACGTCTTAGTATTTGACTATTGTATATTGAAAAAAACCGCTCTGAGAAGCAAATGAGATGAGGCACATGGGAGCACTCTTGTAAACTGTGGAGGAGTATGAGAGGATAGTTACTGTGTCCTGATGTACGCTCATTGGTTACAAGAATACATTTGTCTTAGTAAGATTGAGGCCCTTGGCTAGGACTAGACTGGCTGCAGAAGTGGGGATACTGTTAGATTTTCCCACAGAACTGGATTGAAAATTCAGCCACTGGGGCTAATATGCCCTTTGGCCAATATGGCATTTGATGACAGAACACTTGTGTATCTTGTAGCCCAACATGAGACCAACATGGGATCCTCACAGATAGTGAGCATCTTGAAGTAAGGGATCAAGCTCTGAATGTTCCTTCTCATCCAGAGTCTTACTTTTCCCTCTTTCCTTTGCTGGCTAATCTCCAGACTTTGCTTTTGTAGACAAAGCAAGGGATACTGCTATTTTCTCTGAAACCACGTGCATTCTTAAGGATATCTCGTACTTCTGATTAGATGTTGTTTCTGGTTTTTCATCCTATAGAAAAGTTAAACTGGGGTCCTTGGCTTTGGTCAGTGACGCTGGAGTGGTCTCAAGAAGAAATGCCGCTCCTGGCTGCCTTGCGCCCTTACCCCCAGTGTGTGTCTTTCTGGCAAGAGGCGAAACCTCTTTTTGGCAAAGAGGTTCTCTTTGAGACATTTTGCTTGGGTTCCATTGTCCACAGCAGATGTCTACATGGCCACAGACTGAAAGCTGTTATTATGCAAGGTCTTTAATGACCCTACACAAGATCCAACAGAAGTTGTTGTCTGAATTTGGAAGATTGTTCGCTTTTGGCTGGAAGCACTGGTTGTTGATGCTCTGGTTTTATTGGTTCATTTCTGGTGACTGGCCTTGGATTGATTTCTGGAGCCCTTAGAAGGAGGCAGCCTTTTTTCCCCCTCTCCCTGAGAACTGATCACTGACTCCACAAAGCAAATGGAAAGAGAGTTTTGGGACTGACTACCCGGAAGGCACACTAGTGGTTTGACTTACATACTAGTTTCAAAGGCTACCATTTTTTTATTTTGACCTATTAGTGTATAAAGATACTACTAGTCCATAACTGTGTTAGTTATGTTTAGTCAGCTTTAAGTTTTGCTGTGTTTAACATTAATGTGTGGGTGTTCAAAGAGAAGTTTAGCCCTTTCTAGATGTGAATTCTCATCCAAATGCTTAGGAATTTAAACAAATAGCAACAATAGAAAATAGGCTGTTTACATTAGAACCCTTTAGATGTTACAGTTGTTTTAATGGCACCAGATAACTGTTTCTCTGCTGTGCATAGATGTCTGTGTTCATATAGTACTGATAGGGAAGGAGGAAAGAGGAAGAGTGTATATATTTTAGGGCAAATGTAGATAAAGGCCAGTTACATATCTGTAAAATAGATATAACAACACCCAGCTGTTTTGTATCATTCTAAGGAGATAACACTTGTGGAATACGTGTTATGAAGTCTGAAGCACTCCTCAGAGGAAAGATTGGAAGGTGAAACCGAGCGTTTGTCTGGTTGTTCAACAAATATTTATTGAGTGCCTGCTATGTGTCTCCCTCTAGCATATATTGGAATATATCTCTTATGGAACTTCTGCATGGTTGCCCTCAGGGTCCCAAAGATACCCTCATGCTTATGATACCTTCCTTATTGCTGTAGCTTCCTGGGGAGGGGACAGTTGAAACCAGGACATGGAGAGTTGCCTGGGTGATAGGAAACCTTCCTTGCTACTCTTTCTGTCAGATTTACTCTTTTCTTTGTGAAGTTCTCCTTCTCTAGGTACAGAAAATGGCCACTCCACAGTTTCCAAGTTTATCTCACCTCCAGTTCCATTCACAAGCCAAAGTTAAATGACTCCACTTGGATCCTTAATCTAAATTCCTGGGAGAAGGGATATGATTGGCTCAGTTAGGTCACATATTCATCCCTGGTCTAGTTAAGGAGAGTGGAGTCGTGTAGTTTCCACCCCCCAGCTAAGGGTCCAGTCTTGTATAGGGGGAGGAGATGGGACATTCATGGGATATCATAAAACTGACAAGGTCCTTTACCTTGTAGAGCTTACAGTCTAGCAGGAAAGAAAGACATTACATGCATAATTGTGCGGTACTGTGGGTTGTATGGCAGCCAGATCTAATCTGAGTAGGAGATCTGGAAGACCTCCCCAGAGAAGGATGGATAGGGTTAACCAAAGTGGGCAGGGCAACATGGAATCGGAGGGAACAGGGTGGCAGGTGAGGAATGAATGTTTCAGGCAGAATCAGCAGAGAGAAGAAAAAGCCTAGGGGCAAGAAAAACTAACCACATTGGCAGTATGTGGAAGCAACTGGAAGAAACAATTGTTTAAACAGTTTACAAGAATAGCTTGATTCTGTGCCATTCTTTTTGCTTAGATTGGAAGTTCTTTGAGGGCAGGGACCATCTTTCCTGTTGTCTTTGGATCCAGTTGGCATGGGAAGAATTTTATTTGGAAGGATAAATTCTGTTTTATGCAGTAGTTTCTTAGTGCGTTTTCTTCCCAGCTTATAGCTGTTCTGCTTTGAAATCTTAACTATGTCTTGACATGTATCCTCCAGCCCTTCCCTGGAAGATGGATTACATACCTTCACAGAATGTGCTTCCTACCCCTCCAGGTTGGCAAAGAGGGATCAAAGGGGAATTGTGGTCATTTTTGGAAGGATTGATAATTGCCAATTTTTCTTTCCTATATAGGTACTGCTTTTATATCATTGCCCCCTCAGCCCCTGAGCAGATGTTTTATTGGGTATTGTTGGCTATGCTTTTGTTTTGAAAAATTTGAGACATTATTGAAAGAGGAGAGGGGTAGAGAAAAAAAGCCCATAATTGATTCTAATATATATTTAATTTGGCAGAACTTGAGAGAGACTTGCTGGGATAAGGCGGGACATTTCTTTGATCTCCCAGACTTCTTATCGTGGAAGGCAACAGGTGTCACAGCACGGTATGTTAATTACAAGTTGGATATTATTTGTGCTCATCCATTCTCGAATGTCTCGGATGTATATATATTGCTTTCTTAACTTGCTTTGACTGGATGTACTGTTTGTACATCTGCATGCGATTTTGCATACTTGAAACATCTTGAATCCATCTTCTACCTCCACAACACGTGCTCAAACACCATTGTTCCTATGCGGCCTGGAATGTGGGTATCCAAGGTGAAGGCCAGTCATTGAAATTGGACACATTTGAAGGAGATGTGAACAGTCCATTGTGAAACGGACTGTTTTTCCAAAGGCACTTTTTACAGTGAGTAAAAGAAAAATATTTTTTGGCCCCTGAAGGTAAGAGATGTATTTGTTAAGGAAGCTAATTTATTGGGATGGGTGTGTTACGAACCTATTTTGCTTTTTATGTAAATGTACTTGAATCATTGCAGAGTCTAGAGGTATATATGTTGAAGCCAACAGTTTTTAATAAATTATGAATGTTATAAATAAGTATGGGCTATGTGGCAGAGTCAATTAAAAAATACTCATTGAGTGTGAAATTGTGGCTGCTTTAATGGACATTGGATGCACATATGGACACACATGCATATGTGTAATATGTATTATATATATGGACAAATATATATATATATATATGGAAATGAAATCTCAAAGTATGTATGTCTGTTGTCATCCCGACTTCAGATTTTAGGAGGTGAACAAAATGGGGGTAGCAGTGCAGGAGGGGTCTTCTCATCTTGAAAACTGGTTTTAGAATCTGTACTGAACAAATATATGAGGAGGGAGATCATTCCAGAGGATAAATGTATATATTTAGGGAGGCAGTGTTTTTTTATCTTAAAGTCAGCTCATTTAGAGAGGGCTAAATCCTCCCCATTTTCCTTTTTATTTAAACTAAAGGGAAGCTGAGAATAGGAGTACCATTTTCCTTGTGCTCTTTCTATCAAATTTTGTATGATTTGGACCTTTTCTTGTAGAGAGATGATAAGAGTTTGATAATTCGGCAGCATGGGCTTCCAGAAAGGTGATAGCAGAGGACATGCTTCACGAGCACACCATTCTTCATGCGGATTATCCTTCCCTACCACCAATGAAATGATTATTAGTCAAAGATCTCAGGGTAGTAGGAATCCACATGTGTATACAGATGGTCTCAGCAAAGGTCAGGTACTCACCCCTCTCTGCGGAGAAGGCTCTGGAGGAGTGGTCTGAACTTGACCCCAGAAGGTGCAATTAGTCACCTTTGGACTGTTATCACCACTGGGGAGGTCAGTGTGTGGGTGAAGATCTCATCTCAGACCTTCTTCTTTTGGTGTGACATCAACTGTCTGAAGTTATTTCTGGAATGACCTATCTCTAGTTTTTTTTTTTTTTTTTTACTTTTGTGCAGTAGCGAAATAAATGTTTTCATCATTTTAGCTAAATGAACCTATTAGTTAAAGCAGTGCTAACAGTGTAAGAATCAGCAACACCCCCATTCTCCTGTAAACCTGGAGGACTCAAATTTAGAACTACAGATGGAGGAGGACCTTGTTTTTTTTCTCTTTTTTTCTTGGGTATTATTCAACTCGGGCATTAACTTCCTTCCTGGTTCTCTCTGATGGTGCTAAATAGTCTACACCCCTATTTCCTGGTGTGGATGCCATATGAAGACACCAAGGAGTGGATTTTTTGAAGCTAGCTCTGGCTCAGGTAGATTTAAATGCAGTGGCATGCATACCCACTGTAGGGTCACAATGTGACTTCTAGTCCTCGATTCTGCCACACAAAAGTTCTGTCATCTTGGGCATGTCCTTTCTTTCTTTGAATCTCATTCTTCTTATCTGTAAAATGGAAATCACGATACCTACCTTGTAAGCTCATTCAGAGAGTCCTAGTAAACCACTTTTTCTAACCTAGCTTGAAATCAGCTGAATCATTTATTAAAAGCACAGATTCCTAGGGCTTCTAGTTTTAAGCCTACAGAAGCAGAAATCTCCATGTGGTACCTGGGGATTTGTGCATTTTAACAAGTGCCCCAGGTGCTTATGTGATCAGGTAATTTTGGACAATATCACCTAATAGAAATGCATGAAAGTAATATGGGTTTCTAATCCCAAAGTAATATGGGACTTTAATCCCTGTGAGGGAGTGGAAGCATTTTAAAAGGTTTGATGCATTTGGTGAATTTAAAAATGGAGAGCTTCTTGTTGACCTATTAGAACATGCTTGGGGGCTTCCAGCCCTGCTCATGACAATCTCAAACCTTGAGGAAGCAGAAAGTTTAATGCTCAGAAATGATTTATTGGCTGTCCAGTCATCCCTGCCATTTGTTGTTGTTGTTGTTAGCTTTGACACTCATCACTCATTCTGTTTTTATTAGTACAGATTTTCAATCCTTCCCCCCCACCCCCCGCCCCTTGACTGTACTTGGATACTTGCAGGCACCATCAGAGACCTCTCTCTAGGTGCCCTCTTTTCTAGAGCACAATCTATGGACCTTGGACACCAGGCACCGAGTTCCTCTCACAAAGGTGGTTGCCCTCTCCTTGGCATACCTATCTCTTATATTTGTCTTTCTCTCCTATTGTTTCCTTAATCTTCAGTTCTTTCTCCCTTCTCCATTCCAACCTACTTGATCTGGGTGAAACCAGTAACCACTCTGAACTTTCTTGATTGTGCAATTAGATAATGACAACAGTCACCCATAGGTTTAGTGTGTTGGACTGAGTGAGGTAACAGTAAAACTTCCAACGCATTGCTGAGAAATTTTTTGAAGGAATTAGCTATTTTTTTTGGTTTTATTTCTCTATCAATTTTGGCAGGGAGTCTTTGTGTTAAGTTTCTGGCATAGCAGAAAGAGAGAAATCTTTGTACTCAGACTGACCTGGGTTTAGTGTCTTCACTGTGTACTGTCTGCAAGAACCTGGAGCGAATTCCTGACCCCTGCCAAACCCCCCAGCCTCAGGTCCTCATCTGGATGTCTTCCCAGGGTTATTGATGGTCTAAGCGTTACTGGGGGGATAAAAGGTGTAGCACATAATGTTTAAACAATGCATGGTTCTTTTAATGAAAATCCCCATTGTCCTTTCTTCTAGAATAAGGAAGATGAGGGTCTGAAATTGAATATGCCAATGCCAAAAAAAACTCTGGGCAGTAAAGCATGAACTTGGCATCTTCTGAGCCAAGGAGAGGTTCAAATTTGGTGTTTATTTGGCTCTTATTGTGATTGTTTTAGGAGGCTTTGGGGAAATGAGTGCCAAAAAGACTAGAGGGTGGTTTTTTTTTTCCTTTTATTATTTTAGTGAAGTCAAGGTTAAAAAGTGATTGGATTTCACCTTGTTGTAAAGCTTTCAGACTTGATTTTGGCAGTGGCCGTGTGTAAGAAGTCCTCCTTCTCCCTTCTCTTATCTGTTTTTCTCTCCTACCCTTCTTGTGTTTTCCCCCCACCTTCCCTTTCGTTATCGTTCTCATCCTCCAAAATATGGCAGCTACTCTCATTTATCTGGGTCACTGAGAAAATCACCACCTGGCATATGAGTAATTTGTAATTCAGCTCCATTCTTTTTATGATATTAATGAAAATAATTATTACTTTTTTTGTTATTAGTAATTATAATTAGGTAATTATCATTGATCGTATGCCTTCTCTTTATCTGTTCTAGGCATATTATCAAATATGAGCTCCATTAGTCCCGGAAACCATCAGTTAAAGCAGGTGGTAGTGTTACCATTTTGTAATTCAAGAACTGAAGCTTAATGTTTTGCAACATTCTAGCTTTTGAATGGGTAACTGTCCAGAATTTGGGTAACAGGAGAAATGAGAAGTCAGAAATTTGAATAACAAAATTTTGCTCATCAGACAGAAACATATTTTGATATATACATCCTCATTCTAAAGAGATTTGAAGGGACTGATAATAAAATAAGAAAAAAGCACTGATAAATTTTAAAAAATCACCATGAAGTGAAAATATTAAAAGAATAACTAAGGTGAATCTACGAGCTTCATAGAAACTATTAGATTCTTTATAATTACTAATAGGTTTGTTTCCAAGCTTCTTAGCGGCCAAAGCAAAGATTAGAACATAATCAAGATTAACTGAGTAGATGAATAGGAACCTGATGCTGTTCAGAAATAGAACTCAGAAAATACTGGGGTCTGAGAGAAATTTCTCATAGATTATCAAGGGGATAAAATAGTCTATAAATATTTTATAGATTATTCTATAAATATTCTATAAATTATTTAAGTGTGTTCTATTAAATTCAATTATAATTTCAAATAGACTTTATTTTAAAAGTTTTAGATTTACAGAAAAATTGTGATGATGGTATAAGAGAGTTTATATACTTGTTACCTAATCTCTTCTATTATTAATCTTTTAAATTAGTGTGATATATTTGTCACAATCAGTGAACCAGTACTGATAGATTATCATCAACTAAATTCTATACTTTATTCATATTTCTTTAGTTTTTTCCTCATAGCCTTTTTCTGTTCCAGGATTCTATCTAGATTACCATATACATTCAGTCGTGTCTCCTTAGACTCTTCTTGGTTGTGACAGTTTCTCAACTTTGTTTTTGATGGCCTTGGCAGTTTTGAAGAGTGCTGGTCGTGTATATTATAGCATGTTCCTCTGTGGGATGTTTTGGTCTGATGTTTTTCTCATGATGAGACTCAGGTAGTATATTTTGTGGGGAAGACCATTCTGAGATGTGTACCATTCTCATTACAGCTCATCAAGGGTATGTACTATCTGTATGACTTGTTGATGTTGACCTTGATCACCTGACCATTGTACTGTTTGTCAGGTGTCTCTCCCGTAAAGTTACTCCTCCTCTTCTATTTCGTACTCTTTGGAAGGAAGTCATTATGCACAGCCCACAGTTAAGGAGTAGGGAATTACGTTTCACCTTCTTGGGGACAGAGTATCTACATACATTATTTTGAATTATTCTGTGTGGGAGATTTGTCTATTCTCAACCCATTTATTTGTATTGCTTT